AAGAGAGTAAATATTTTTCTTTAAGTTTTATTTACTGGGGTGTCTCGGTGGCTCAGTCGGTTAAGTGTCTGCCTTCAGCTCAGGTCATGATCCCAGGGTTCTGGGATCAAGCCCCACATCAGGCTCCCTGCTTGGTAGAGAGTCGGCTTCTCCCTCTCGCTCTGCAGCTCCCCCTGCTTGCACACTCTTGCTCTCTCTCTCTGTCTCTCTCTCTCTATCAAATAAATAAATAAATAAAATCTTAAAAAAAAATCTTATTTACTTATTTTAGAGAGAGAAAGAACGAGCATGGGGAGGAGAAGAAGGAGAAGAGAGAGAGAAAATTTCCAGCAGACTGCGCTAAGCACAGAGCCTGATGTAGGGCTCCAGCCTAGGACCCTGAGATCATGACCTGAGCCGAAACCAAGAGTCAGACACTTAATCAACTGAGCCACCCAAATGCCCCTAAGAGAGTAAATCTTGAAAGTCCTAACTATAAGAAAAAAATTTGTAATGATGTATGGTGACAGATGTTAATTAGACTTATTGTGGTGATCATCTTGTAATATACACAAATATTGAATCATTATATTGAACACCTGAAACTAATATAATATGTCAAGTATACTTCAATAAATAAATAAATAAATAAATAAATAAATAAATAAATAAAATAATACTGATCTTGGTATCAGAATTGAGCCTTGCTAATACTTTCTGTATTTACCTACCCTGAACAGTTGGCTTCACATTCTCTGACTATATTGAAATATGGTTATTTAAGCCTCACCTTGAATTTTCAAGCCTCAGTGCTTATAAAACTTTCCCTCAGACTCTCTCTTCTGAGAAAAATGGACTCATCTTTCAGGATGCATCTCAGGTGCTCCCTCATCTGTGAAGGCTTTCTTAAATTGCTCCATCTTCTGGACATAGTCAAAGACTTGACTTTGTCTCCACAATCCCTAATAGGATCTCCATTACAGTACTTTCAACAGAGTATTGAAATGATTGTTAGCACTTAATATCCTTGTAAGATAACAAACTGTGGTATTTTCTGGTGTAATGGGGCTAAACTCCGTAACTTAAAACCCTAGTTTCAGCATGTACTGCCTGTTGGGTCCTGGGAGAGTTACCTGATTCTTCTGTGTCTCAGTTTTCTGGTATGTGAAATGGGACTACTAGAAATCTTCTTCATAGTGCTGTTTTGAAGATTACATAATTTTATGAATGCAAAGCAATTAAAACGGTGCCCAAAGTAAGCACTAAGTAAAGCTTACCAGTTATAATTGTAATCTAGAGACCTTCATAATGAAATTGATCCCTACCAGGCTTAACACTTTCGCAAATTGTAATGCACTCAATAAAAAAAAAATACATATGTTGAATGAACAGATGCTTCCAGAATTAGGGTTTATATATGTTTCATTTTTTAATCTTCTTGCCATTTTAAACAATTTTTTTTAAAATGCAGGATACTGCATTTATTTTTTTTTAATATTTTATTTATTTATTTGACATAGAGAGAGAGAGAGACAGAGTGAGCATCAGCAGGGGGAGTGGGAGGCAGAGGCAGAGGGAGAAGCAGGCTCCCCACAGAGAAGGGGGAGCCCGATGCGGGACTCGATCCCAGGACTCCGGGATCATGACCTGAGCCGAAGGCAGTGGCTTAACCAACTGAGCCACCCAGGCGCCCCATTTTAAATAATTTAAATTTAAGAATTACTGCTAAGAAAGATCATCCAAAATGATAACTCAATTTCCTAAATTATTCTTTGAGGATAATTGGGCAGAATTTTCTTGATGCACACTTTGAGGCTATGATATAATGTAGTACTGCCCAGACGTAGGCACCCAGTTATATATGTTGGTGAAAGTATCCAGCTTACTCTGCGAGTATGTGTTGTGTACATTGTGTGTGTGTGTGTGTGTGTGTGTGTGTCTTTAATAATATGAAGTTTTTTTGTTTTGTTTTGTTTTGTTTTTGCTTTTAGTGGGAACTATGAGCAACTGATAGCATCTGAATTAAAATTTTTGCTGATCAAATTAATTTCTGTATTACTATGCATTTTACACTTATCCAAGTATTGTCGTAAATCCAAAATGTCTATTTGAGGGAATTATTGGCTTTATCTTTGGACACCCTTATGATTTCTTTGTATATAAAATAAAGTAATATTCATTATAAGCAATGCCACAATGTGGTTTTTCTTGCAAGAATGTCAACATTGACATCTAAGCCGATCAAGATCCTGACTACACATTCCCACATGTATAAATTCTTTTAGATTTGCAGCTAGGGACATAGAATTTTCTTCTCAATAAGTGGAACTTTCAGTAATAAGAAATGTACAAATTAATGTTTCCCATAGATGCTGGTGCTGTAATAAACCATAAAATTAAATCTGAGGCTCAATTATAGTAGTTTAGTTTTATTTTACTAACCCACTGCGTATTTAACTAATCCACTATGAACGCTATGCTTTGCACTTTTTCATTTTTCTTCTTCCTTAGCCTTCAATTCTATATTATTTATAATATTTTATTTTTCTGCAAACTGTCTCAATGCCTTTCTAAAAAGAGCAGAAGCATAAATATATTTATATATGTTTACACACATACATATAATGGCTTGAATTGGTCCCGATGTTATCATATTATTATTCCCACATCTAGACGCATCAAGACAAACTTAATTAAACTTTAATTAGTTTCCATGTGGAAAGGAAACCATGGCTACTATTGTTTCATTTGCATTAGGAACATGTATTGTGGGAGAGCCACAGGTTTTCATCACACATTACAAATATGTGACTGAAAATAATGTCGTTTTCATTTAATAATAGATCTTAGATCTACTCCTTTAAAATCTACATATAAATACTAATTCATCTTCGAAATGAATTGGATGAATTCTATTCTACAGTAGTAATTACAAAGGTATGATTCCAGAATATCAAACAAAATTTGGATATGCAATTCCTAGGTGAAATGCTACTCTAAGATAGAATAAAAGTCAGTTTCATTAATTTTTCAACAAACAATCTTCTCACTTCAGATTCAGGCAACTAAAGGCTATGAATCTGCTTCAATCAAAACCAGAGAGAATACTTTCTCATTATACACTTGCCAGGAACCTCAATGTGATATCTAGTTTCCATCATAAGCAGAGCTAAGAATATTAATACCCATGAGGCAGAATTTCAGAGCTGTGTTACCCATCCATTTGTCTTACGTTTCAAAACTTGATCCCTATATTACATTAACTCATAAAAAACAAGTGTACCATAACAACATGAAATTATCTCACCATAAAGATTATATTTCATGATCATATAGGGGAATCATATAAGCAAAAGCAATGTACACTGACATCGGGATTTCCATGTTTTAGAGTGCTTTCCTCAAAATTTTCTGAGACCCATCTTTTTTCCAGGTCTATTTGTGGGCAGCAATGCCATCTGGTGGGTTGCCATGGGCTGGACTGTATCCATTTCTCCCCTTGAAGGCACTCTCTGACTTTCTACTTAATTTTGGCTTTATCAGATATCCTGGGGAGCTTCAGGACTAATACCTATGGAGTTGTCCCAGAGCCCCATGACCAGGCCCTAATTCCTAGTAGGCGGTCTGTCAAGGAGATTGCCTCTCTTAATGATATTGTGTATTTTTTTACAAAATCACTAAAAATTGGACTGCCAGAATGGTACACAAAGACTGACTTGGCATGACTCAAATTTTATATAGAGATAGATATCCCACAGAAAACAAATGCCTGGGGCCCCACATACCTCAGGGAAACCTTGGCCATGTGTTCATTTTTAACAAAGGTTCTATTTAAAGACCTTTTCCACTCTATTATTCAATAGTTTTTAAACACATTTCTAAAAGGTAAATTCTAAAAATATAGTGCAAATAATTTAAATCTTGAATGGATTTGCTTCCTTTGACCTACCATTGGAATCATAAGACTCATCAAACTCTCATTAATTTAGGCTTCCAGAGAGCTCTGAGGACATTAATGTGCAATAAATACAATCTTCTAGATCAGCTTCCTAGGACTCCTTGTACTATAGTTTTCTATTTCTCTCTTTGGATTTATTCTAAACTCTCTTTAAGCATGTATTTTTGTTTTATTTTGTTTTCAAGCATATATGTTTTTATTAAAACCATGGCAAAATCTTTTAGAAGATTTAAAAACAGTTAACTAGCAAAATAAAATATTCATTTTTTTCTGGGAAAATAATAATTTGGTGGCAATGATAAATTATATCCATTCTATACATGGGTCAAAAATTTTATGTAAGGAAAATAGCAGTAAAGCATAAATGTGCTGAAATGAAGAGTTACCATCAATTATTTTTTGAAAAAATTTAAATTTCAATAACTTAAGATTTAAAATTGACATGCTGTGTTGAAGATTGAGGTGTATGTACCTGGGTTTCAACACTTATTATTTTGGCCATAAATAGCTTCATAAATAGCTTGCAAAACATAAAATAAATAAATAATTTATAAAGTATAAGCAAGCCACATCAAATATTTCAAAACCACATTTCAAATGGTATGTCATGTTCTTAAGGGGCAGGGAAAGGAAGACATCCTCGTCATTCAAGGATATCAACAGCAGTTGAGAATTTTTATGCCTGGGGATTTTTTCTCTGTCTTCTTGGTAAACAGTTCCAGAATGTCTGTGAGCAATAATGTGCTATAACATTTTTAATGACACTTAATATTTTAACTTTTTGTCTTTAGCAAATAATGTTAAAATTAAAAAAAAAGAATAGGAACAAAATACATATTAATTTCATTAAAATAAACCAGGGAAATTTGAGGTAAAGCGTGATTAAATGATGTTCCAAAGCTTAACCAGGCCACTGAGTCAGGAAGAGAAACCAGGTCTCTCGGATTTCAATCTCAGTGTTCTAGTCACTGGTTTGTTCAACTCCTGTGCAAAACATCCATACACAATACACAATGCATAATCCCCCTTGCTATCAAGTGGTTGTGAAAAGAAACGCCATTACCTTTCCCACATACTGAGGCTCGGAGCCCATGTATTCCTCCAGCACAAAAAATTGATTCCATACCCAGCCACGTTTAACTCGTTGGAAATGTGATCGGCGCCCTGGCAGGTGGATAACATTTTCTGTTGGTTCTGTGGCTAAAGTCTGTTGTGGCTGTGGTTGAAGGGGTATTAGGAGACCTCCATCAAACAGGACCCAGAGAAGCAGGGATAAACAGTTCCTTGTAAGCATTGGCAAAGGCTTTCCAACAGCAGAGTAATAAAAACTCCAGCACTTAATGTAGAATTGTGGAATCCAGGTTTGAGGTGTCTGTGGCCTCCACCACTTAACTTTGTGTTTTACTGCAGAAATGATAATGCAGGCATTAATCCTTTTGATGAAAAGGCTTCTGCTGTATTACATTCCATCTAAAGGGACCTATAAAACAGATTAACAAAGATACATTAAATTGACAGAATGAGTTGATGGTAGTCATCAAAACTCTCATTGTGTCTGCCAACATTTAAAGAAATAAAAAGGAAAGCCTGGAAAAGACTTGCATTGCTAAATGGTCACTGCTATGCACCCTGCAAACTTGGATAAACTAAGTTTTCTACAGACTTGAGAAAAGCTTTAGTTACGATGAAGCAAAAGGTGTATCATAAACAGAAGCAATTTTTTCTTCAATTTAATAATCTTTTTTTTTGTTAAAGATTTTATTTATTTATTTGAGAAAGAGAATGAGAGGTAGAGAGCACGAGAGGGAAGAGGGTCAGAGGGAGAAGCAGCCTCCCCGCTGAGCAGGGAGCCCGATGCGGGACTCGATCCCGGGACTCCAGGATCATGACCTGAGCCGAAGGCAGTCGCTTAACCAACTGAGCCACCCAGGCGCCCTTAATAATCATTTTAAGGATAAAACACAGATCACTATTTTTAACATGAACTAGGTTAGAGGAGGGTTTCACAGTGTGACCCTTTGACATTTGGGGTTGAATAGTTGTTACTGGGGAGCTATTCTGTGCATTTGACTTTTAGCCACATTTCTTTCCTCTGTTCAATAAGTGACATTACCATCCTCCCCTCCCAATTGTGACAATCAAAAATTTCTCCAGGCATTGCCAAATATCTCCTGGAAGAAGCAAAATAAGCCAAGATTGAGAATCACACATTTAGAGAAAAAGAAAAAAATATAAGCAGAAAAAAACCCCAAAAACAAAAAAAAAACCGTCTCTCTCTCTCTCTCTGTCAAATAAATAAATACAATCTTTAAAAAATTTTAAAACAAATAAAAAACAAATACACAAATGAGACCAAATTTACCAATGCTGTGGGAAAAAACAAAAACAAAAACAAAAACAAAAAACGGCCAAACAGACAGACTATCCCTGATGGCAAAACCTAAGTTAGCAAAAGCCAGGTTTAAGTGACAATTGCACTGAGAACTAAAGGAACAAGAACAGCCCATCCTCTGTGAGCAGGCACGGGAAGCATGTGGCTTGAGCCAGCACAGTTTTGTGCATTTGGCACATCAGGGCTTGATGCCTACAGCCTAAAATTGGAATTTTTCAAGAGCCAAAAATGTTGGAGGCCAGAAATTGTATATAATGCTTCCAAAACAAGGGAACCAAAATAAAAATCAATATATGTTTAATTAAACATCTATGAAACATGGCATCTTGTCAACTTGTCAGCTACGAAGCAGTTCAACACTCATCCAGTCATAAAAAACATAACAAAAATTATAATGCATTCCTCACAAATATTCAAATTTAAACATTTAATGTGGGAATCATGCTTGAAATAAGATATGAGATGGGAAATATCCAAAAGTTATACTCTGAAAGCCTTCTATAAGAATACTCCCCAAAAAGGAAATAAAAGAGGATATGATATTTTTTTATTGTGTGAAGGGATGAGACTGACAAAAACATAAGTAGGCATATATTTAATTGCAGCTTTTCATTCTGGCAAAATAACGCTCATAAGAAGTTAACCTAAATTGTCCCATATGGTAACCACTAGCCATATGTGGCTATTTAGTTGAAATGTGGTGATTTGAGATTTTTCACTTATATACCAAATTTCAAAGAATTAATAACAAAATAAGAACAATATAGAATATCTCAATTTCTATATTCATTTGTTGTTGACATGATACTATTTTGGATATATTAGGTTGAACGAGAATAAAAATGAACTTCACCTATATCTTTTTGCTTTTTTAACGTGTTTACTAGAAAATTAAAATTATATATGCAGCTCACATTTGTGGTTTGCATTATTTTTTATTGGACAGCACTGTTTAAATCACAAACTGTGGTTGCTACTTAAATATCTTATTCTTAACATTCAAAACCAAATATCTAACATGAATGTATCATGTCTATATGACAATACATCCAAGAGATCAGAGAATATTTGCCACTATTTTCAAAAAGCCTGTGTAGGCAGAGTGCACATATCTTCCTCATCTGTTCTCAAGTTTAAATCACTAATGCCAACATTCAAAGTGTTCTAATTTCTTAACCTTTTCATTTCTTCCACGCTTCTTCCCATACCCATGGCAATCCTAGCCCAGGCAAATGCAGAACAGCTGGGGAGATAAACATGGATAGAAAAGATGGATGGCAGGAACTCGGACTTCCCAAACCTAGTCTGGTATATGTAATTAGGTTGTATTTTTGCTTTCTTATTCCGTGAAAATTTTCTCCTCCCCTTTTGTGGGGACGTGAAGTATCAAAACTCAGTTTAGAGCGCATTGACACCTAAGGTTATGTCTTCAAGAAAGTGTCTTTTCAATTTTTCATTAGGGATTTTCGATATTGGACATCTGGGTATAATCATCATCACTACCACCAGCCTGGTTCCAGCTACCCTTTCCCCTTTGGTGTTAAAGGTGTCCAAATTCTGAGATTTGACCCGCTACTAGAGTAATCGTTCAGAAATTCTAATCTCTGGACATCATTCCCCTTCTCTTACATTAGAATGTGTGTCTATAACGTCAGGGGATTGGTTGTAAATGATTGGTAAGTAGAGAAGAACGTGATTATAACATGAAAAGTATGTTGTTTCATAAACTAATTCCTCAGCACATTAATGATTCACATGACCAAAAATGACAGCCAAACACAAAATATTGTAATAAGGCTGGAGTTAACTGCAGCCATGGAGGACAGTGTGGAATACGATCCCCGTTTCCCTCACGTTCACATTCTTTCTTTCCTTTGACCTTGTTTGAACGCATATTCTCTCTTAGCATGATGTGTTCTCCCACTTTTATGTCCAGCCCCACCCCTTTCTCTCTCTCTAAGTAGGCTTAATCTTACTTCTATCCCTGTCATCAAATTACTTTCTCCTTAAAATAAAATATTATATTTAAAGGGAAATTTACTTATTAGTAGTTTCTTTTTGCTACTATTTCCATGAGGATGATGATTGCTAGGGTTGACTTCACAAGTTTGGGGGTTTGCACATAATCTTATTTTTTTTCCCCATGAATCCTGCTTTTTTATTTTTAAGATTTTATTTATTTGTTTGAGAGGGAGAGAGTGCACACATGAGCGGGGCGGGGGGGAAGGTCAGAGGGAGAAGCAGACTTCTGACTGAGCAGGGAGCCCCATGATTTGGGGCTTAATCCCAGGACCCCAATATCACGACCTGAGCCAAAGACAGACGCTTAAATGACTGAGCCACCCAAGCGTCCCGAATCCTGTTGTCTTAATATAAATTCTACAGAATACAAAGCTTTTTAGAAATTCACATATCATAGCGTAGTAGAAACATCTGTAATTAACAACATAAAGCCTTCTCACTACACACTGGAGACTTAACATACAGCATGGTCACTATAGTTAACAACAGGGTTATATATTTGAAAGTTGCTAAGAGTTCATCTTGAAATTAGGATTTTTAATACGATATACATAAGCTTAACAGGGCCTACATGATCCACCTCTGCATGAGCCTGGCCATTTATCCCTTCTGCTCTCCAAACCCTTTAGTTTTTATTAATAACAATAGTAATAATTTATATTACAGATGCATGTTCATTTGCACCTCTGTGAAGGGGGTGCTATTATTATGCCCATTTCACAAATGAAATGGAAGAATAAGAACTTAAATGACATGGCTGTGGTCCACAAATGAACGCATAGCATGCAGGTTTGAATCTGGACAGTCTGATTCCAGAGTTCATCCTTTTAAGTGCTATTGTATTCTGCCCCTATATGAGTGAAGGCATAAATAGTTGAAAGCACCAAGGGTTTCAAATCCTAGCAAGAGAAGGAATATAAGCTTGCAGACCTGGCTTCCAAATTATTTTTTCCAAAGTGAAGCAGCTATTTCAATATTAGGGCAGCTTAAGTTTACTTTGACTCCTTTAGAGCTTCTGTAAAGTTAGTGAACTCAAGCTTTCAGGTCAACTTAGTTCCTTTTCAGTCAAGAGATTGGGGGACTCCCTGTATTCACACACAAGGATGTGAAAAGAGACAAATAATTTCTAGGCAGAGACAAGGGGGGAAATGCAAAAACTGGCAGGGTTAGTGTGCTAAGAGAATTGGATAATGGATGAGAATTAAGAAATCGCACGACACCCCAGCAAATCCACCCAGCAAGGTGCTAGACAGGCCAGGTGACCTGAAGCAGGTGTCCTACAGAGAGGAAGGTAAGGTGGATTCCAGCTGTGCAGGCTTCTTCTCATTTAGCTTGATCTGGGCATGCAAGCCAGCGTGAGCCAGAGGAGAAGGCTAAGTAGATTTGAATTGTGGGGACACAAAAATGTTCTCATGTCTATGGCCCATATACATGATGAAATCACGGATTTTTTTATAAAATTCATCATTCAATTAGAACGTGTGCGAGTGTGCAACTTCCTAACTCACACTACTCACACTACTGCAGTATAATCCTAAAAATCCATGCCAGGACTCTATAACACTGCAGTCCTTTAGTGAACAGATGAACAGATACTATTTTCAGTGTCTGATGCCGCTCCCAGCAGATCCCAGCCTCCGGCCACAGTTGTCAGCCAGGGAGCTTTTAAAGTGCTATATCACAATGGAAGTAATGTAAGGAGATTGAAGGACTCTGGTTCTTAAGTGAAAGAGAAACAACTCCCCCAGGCATGAAACAAAGCCTAAAGTACAAGGAAAAACTATACTGAGCTATCAAGCTGGGACCACTTGCCCCAGCACCAATGGTGTTGTTATAACAGCAAGAATAGCAGACTTATTCTGAGGTGTCAGCACCCTATGGAAACA